ATTCTTTCCGAATACAACTCTACGATACAGTCAACTTCAACAATCGCGCTAAAACAAACGCTATATCAACGAACGTCAACAATACTTCTGACTGCAGTTCAATTACTCACACACACATTACATTCTTGCCCCTTCACGTTGTCACCCTCTTTTATATACCAGGCTGCCCTATATCTAGTAAATGCTAGAGCATTCGCCAAGGTACAGGATAGTTCTAGAAACGTGGCGTCACACTAGTCATGTGACTCGCTGACGCAACAATATGAAAATAAGCTTTTAATTAGTTTAACAAAAAACTCTAACAGATACCTGCCTCTTCTGAAACAAAAAGAAGAAAAAGCTACCAAATACAAAGAAAAACACATTATTTTATTCTAAAACTAAACAGAACTAAACATGGGTCATTAAAAATTTATACTTTAAACCTGAAAGAAATGTTTTCTAAAAATAAACAAGAATTAATTAATATTGGCAAAGCTTGTCGGGTTCGGGGCATGGATTTGAGAGGTTTTACGTCAAAAATAAAAATTCGTGCTCCGCGTTTAGGGCTGTGGGTGCATCATAAAAGTGGCGGTCAAATCCCACTTTTCGGTCTACAAAAGTAGGCAGTGGATGCTGTTAAGTATCTGCTTTCTCTCTATTAGTTCAAATTTAGGCTAGTGCAGATAGCTCTTGAGTAGTTTTTCGCGAGTATCCGAAAACAAAGAAAGTAACCAATTAGTACTTTGGCCTAATGACTCTACCAAACAGACAGTAGAGAATTCCTACTTAGATAGTGCAAACTGTGGATTTTCATTAGCACAAAATATCTATTTTATCTGTTTTCTAATGTCTTATATGGAGAAACTAAGAAAATAGTATTCATTTTCTATGCACATGTTCGGCTATTCTGCTGTAACAGTTTTCGTTCTTTAGTGCCATTATATAAGCTATTACACTGCTGATAAATACTAGTTTTGTAGAAATCCGCCAGTCTAACCTGTGCGTAACTATACCTGTTCAGTCATACCAAGTAAAACAAACATATCATTCAAAACTTTGTTCTAATAGAATCATTGAGAAACTGTGGTGTTAATACATGGGAACACAAACGCAATTTTCCTTTGTTCTGATAAGGACAGAAATGTTTTTGTTTTTTTTAATTTAGCGCAAAGCTACACGTGGGCTATCTGCGCTATCCGTCTCTAATTTAATAGGTTAAGACCAGAGGGAAGGAATCCAGTCATCACCTCCCACCGCCAACTCTTGGGCTACTCTTTTACCAACGAATAGTTGGATTGACCGTCACATCATAACGCCCCCACTGCTGAAAGGGCGAGTATATTTTGGTGGGACGGGGATTCAAACCCGCGACCCACAGTTTGCAAGTCGCGCTCCCTAAGTATTTGACCATGGACAGAAAGGTCATCTTTCTTTGTTCTAATAAAGTCAGTGAGGACTTATTGTGTTCATACATGAAAACAGAAACGTATTTTTTCTTGTTCGTAATAAAGCTGATTTAAAATTTAAAATTGTTGCTACTTTTTTAAAGTGTTGGTAAATTCATAAATATCGACAATGTAAAACCAGAATTACAACTTCAAATAATTTTATTTCGTAATTTTACCCTAAAATAATTACATAATTACTATCAACTTAATATAACGTCCATATAACCATCATAGGAGAAGTAATTTGATCTCCCGGAAAATTGTGGTATCTAGATTTAGTGTTTTGGGGCAGTGCAATGAAACAAAATAGAATAATATAGTTTAAAAACTAATGTGTGATACATATTTTTATATACTACCTTCAGCACCTGCATCTAATTTAAAACAAATGAATACTAATATTCAAACTAAATTAAAGATCCTACAAAAAGAGTGTATCTGAATAATTATTCTTTCCTAAGATTCCTTAGTTTTGTTATTCCCATTTTGTTACACGGTTTTTGAATTAATGATCCATTTCAGACATTGGATTATGTTTTCCACAACGAAAGCTATCAAGGCCATGGCGTTGCCCATGCCAAACAAGATGAATGCTCCTTGAATGTCAACCAACGTAAAAGCGTCAGTAGGATCTTCAGTGGTGATAAGGTCTCGATTGTCATATCTTCGCAATTGTTCTTTTTCCCACTGTACTACTAATCCTGCTTCCCAAATTCGACGGATACTGTTGAAAAACGTAGAAAATAGATCAAACAGCTTTATTAGAAGTATATACTTGTGTTAAAAGGTATTACGACTAATTTTAAGGCATTAACTAATGAAACAACAATTCATGTGTTTCGTAAAAAAAGCATTATATTTTCAATAAATTATACTGGTTTTAGGCTTTTTCAAAGAAAAAGTTATGGACAAAAATACATTCAATGAAAAAGGTGCACATTACACAAATATGTGAATTGTATATACGTTAAATCTTGTAAGAAGCCTGTTTGTAAATGTTATCAAAAGATGGCGCTTGTTCTCAATTTATTTATATAAGCACGTAGATTTGTTAAATGAGATTGTGCGCTTGTGAACCAAATAACACTTTATATAATGACATCAAACAATTATGAAGACAGACCATGAAAGTATTATATCATAAACACATGATTTAGATGATATAATAACAAAAAGCGATGGCTTATAAAACTAACTAATGCTAAAAATGTCAAACAGTTGTTTATTTCATATTTTATAGATTTTCTCATACTAAAACAGAAACTATCAAAACAAGCAAAGCGTGAGTTACTGTTACTAATCTTCAGACAGTTTATTTGTTTTTCGAATAATATTTCCCACAGAGCCGACGATAATTTAACTTGCGCCTTAAGCAAAAATTAATGCAACGCCCCTACTCATACTAGAGCCCCCAGTAATTTGGTATTCTAGACCAGTGTTCCTCAACCTTTTTTTGCTCGTAGCTCACTTTTGAGTTTGATTTATCTCTGTGGCCCCTGTAGACGCTGTTATTTAGGCAAAAACGTTGCTTATTTCCACACTGTTGATTTATAAATAATATATTTATATTATTTTTACAATATTGTATTGTTTTTAAATATTTTGTTTATAACATACCGTTTACTTATACAAGTTAAAAATATTCTGTTAATCATTGAGATTTTATTCAGTGTGATCCTTGGGCCTGATGAACACTTGAAAGTTTTAATGTCCGGTTGCACTGTGGTCAGTGATAAGTGAAGATCAACTCTCTTCACAACATCAAGGCGGTTGCGTATTTTTGATAGCAAATAAGTCACCCGACTAAAACCAGATTCAACCAGATAAGATGTAGGAAAAGCGATAAAGTACAACTTTACCTTCTCCCAGAGCTACTTATCCAGAAATAATGTTTGTCACGTTTGAATCTAGCCTGGGCTGTTGAAATATTTTATTCATGCTGTGAAGTTTTGGTAGCCCACTCAGAATTTACTGTGACCCCCTAATATTTCGTCATTCACGTGTGGCCCTTTAGAAACATGGCCCACGTTGAGAACCACTGCTCAAGGCAACCGCCTAAATTACCTACCTTTAGTTCTAGGCCTGATTATTTATAAATGTTTGGTGATCATTTAATTGTGTTGTATAAATTATATTACTGACTTGGAGATTATTTCTTTAAAAAAAGATAAAACAAAATTTTCTTGTAAGTTTCTACAACTTTTATCAACATTGGTTTATGAAGACAACTTTTATGTTGCGATTTATAGACAAAACACGCATATCCATTTTTCTAGATACATTGATATATGCGTTACTAGCAGAAGACAGCACGCAATGAATCCCGATATCACAATTATAGAACACTTAGTGTGTTAAATATTTCTCTTACACTTTGTCAAACTCGGCTTTTAAAGGAGAACCGTCTTGAAGAGGAAAAGCAAAAGTGTCTGAAAAGAAGCAGTCAGTGGAAACGTGGAACCTGTCTCTACCTAACATGGCGGCGTGGGCGGAAAGAACAACCCTTCCATGAATGAAAGCATAAGGACTCTTGAGGGCTCGTTCAATGCCTTTCTGAATGTCAGTCATTACCCAACTAGGATGTTTTCTCATTTTGTCCGCCAGATATTTCAGAACTCCATCTTCCGCAAGCTAAAGATAACGATAATAATGTTATATAAATGATACTCATTAGAAGATCAACCTTGGCATAGTATTACATCGACTGTACTAACCATACGAATAAGTTAAAGCCAGTCACACGTAAAAAAAGAACCAAGGCAACTACTCATAAGAAATATTTAGACATAAAGCAGTAAAATTTTAATTCAGACGAATACCCATACTAATTTATTTGTGGTTTTCAAGTTATTCAGAAAAATACTTAGCTTGTTTCTGATTTTAAAGTTGTTCGTGAATGAAAAAGAAAAGGTTCTCGTTCGCTACAGTCAAAATCATAAGAGTTTTTAATGAGTGTTAAATCAATATAATTTTTTCTACCCATTAGTCAACTTTTCTAACTTCTAATGGTACCACTGAGATGGATTTTACATGACTACAGACCATGAAACGATGAAAGTATGAAGTCCCTTGAAGTGTCCCTGCTTTCATTGCCCCAGATTTCACAGCCACTTGTAGCTCTCCAACTTTATCGATGGGTTTCAGAGGGGTTGGAAAGGTCACGTGAGAGGTCAAAGGTCCACAATAGGCTGCCAACAAAACGACCGCAACTAACAACCACGCGCCTGCCATACAACGTACACTTAGTTCTGGTGCAACTTCAATGTGGTGTCCTAAAACATACGAAAACATCACATTTCCTCTACTTTAATACCTATCATGTTTGAGATATACATGTAGAAGTACAATGGGTAGCTTAAATTATGTGTATTGATTAAGAAGATGATACAATGAGAAAATCGTAAGGGCATTCCTAGGTTTATTCTCATTCATATAGAATGCTGTATATATAAAACGTAATAGAGGCGTAGTGTTCATTCGTGCATACCGTGTTTATCTTTAGGATTCTTTTTGAGCATATGGGTGTTTTGAGGCATAAATGACCCATGTCTGAAGGCAAGTCATGATCCTGTGAGTTCCCTCTTAAGACTACTAAAAAGTACGTTTGATATTCTGAATTTTGTCGCTTTTTTTAGTGGAACACAATAATTTATAAGGATTTATTATAACCTGAAACATAGCCAAAAATAAACTTGTTACTCTTTGATGAGATTTGAGAAGATTTTACTTAGCCAAAAATTATACCAAGGCTAGGTTTTAAAGTTTTATAAAATACAGTAGTCCTAAAATATAATAATAAAAAGTAGTTTGTTGAATTTCGCGCAAAGCTGCTCTAAATTTATCTTCACTAGTCATCCCTAATTTGGGACAGATACACTATAGAGAAGGCAGCTAGTCAACATCACCCTCTGCCAACTCTTAGGCTACTCTAATCAAATAATGGGATTGACCAAACCATTATAAGGTCCCCACAGCTGAAATAGCGAGCACGTTTGGTGATGGGTTTCGAAACCGCGACCCGAATATTGCGAGTCGAGCACCTTAATCACCAGATCGTAAAAAGTATATGAAATGTTACGTAGACATGTATTACTATATTACCTTGAGATGTTAGGTTACCGATGATGAACCAAAAAGCTTCCAAGTGCCTTCTGGATGTTCGGTGTACCTTAGCCGATATGTTATCAACAGCATTCATCAAAATTCCAGAGAAGGCGAGTGTTAAAATAAGCACAATCCACATCTAGAAATAGAAATGTATAATGCAAATTTCTAGCCAAAGAACTGTTGAAAGAAATATTCTTCATATTTTAATATACATACAATAAAACTTGGAAGGATTTGAACCATTGTTGGGAACATGTTAATGGTTTGGTTTTTGTCATATTTCTTTGTGTTGCCCCAGTGGCACAGCTTTCATGTTTACGTACTTATACTGCTAGAAACCGGATTTCAATACCCGTGGTGGGCAGAGCACAGATAGCCCTATGTGTAGCTTTGTTCTTAATAACAAGCCCGTTCCATTGGCTGTGGTTTCGCTAGATAGTAGATAGGGACAGTGGGAATCTCGTTAATCCATTCATGCGCGTCACTAATTAGATGACGAGGCATTTGGCTACCTTAAGAGAGTCATATTTCCTACTCAGCGTGCACATTTCCAGAATATATACATATATTAATAACATTTTAAAGTACACCAAACAACTGGGGAGAAACAGTTTCGCCCAAGCACAACAGAAAAATTAAAAATTAGGTACAAACTACACTGGGTGTGGTAAACTTGAAATAACTGTTAATTTCACCCTTCCATAACTAATTTAGAATAAACCTGCAGTCATAAATTCATGCAATTTTTCTACGTTTCTGTGCTGGTGATGTAGAAAGGTCTTAATCGCGTTTTTCTTAGGTAAAGTTTATATACAGCGATGGCTATCCCATACAAGATTGTACCAGTTTGATCCTGTGTGTGTTTCTGTTCCTTGAGTCAGGACAAGCCCATCTCAAAGTGTGATACATGTTGGTATTAATTTGATGTTCTTTCTCTTGAATTTGTCATTAGGAATAGTCGTTGATGTGAGTAATCTATGAGTTATAAAATATCGCACAAGAACCTCTTTGTCCGACTTGAAAGTGCATAATAGCATAATGTCGTTGTCCTTGTCCCGTGAGGCCGAATGTGGAAAGTCTTCTCTTCATCTCAGCAAATGAGAAATCGGGGCCGGTAGTAAGTGATATAAACAAACACATACACAATGTCTTATGAATAAAAACTTCTGTACAACGTTGATATATTTGTGTTTCTTAGCTGTCCGTATTCTATATATTCCCTGCATAACATTTCCTGAATCTGCGTTTTTGTGGAAACTTTTGACTACCTGTTGAATACCAATGTACCACATGAAAAAGATAAAATATACGGTAGTATAAGAGGTACAGTTTGGTGAAGTAGATTACTGGAGTTAACCCTCATTCGCAAGCCTCACGTGTGGATTAACATTGGAGCTAAAAAAAATTAAAATACAATAAAATGAGGCATATGTGCTTAGGTATACAATGTCGTACATCTAAAATACTATTTACCATCTGCAATCAGTTTTGGATTGTCTAAAACGTTTAAAACATTTTTATTCTCCTTTCTCACGTTTCTGTTAAAGAACTAATCTTAATTTACTCTCTCTGCTGTCAAAAGTTTGACTGAAAGATGAGTTCCTAATAGGAGACACAATCATTGTGTTTTCGTTCCGTTAGCGGTAGTTGTAAAAAAAGAGAGAGAGAAAAGCAGCAGAATAGATTGAGTTTGAAAGTGTGCGGTGTTCTTTCTTTTCAACTCAGTGCATTTGCCCTTTTTTCACACTTCTTAACTAAAAACAAAAATGTTGATACACCATGCATTTTATATTTGATGTTCCTTCATATTTATTAATTAATAAGAATTTCGAAATTTCAAAAGTTTTCTGTCCAGTTTCAGTTGACGTCACCTTTCTTAGATGTAAATCTTTCATATCAAATTATAACTTAAAAAAATATTACCTTACGATTCTTCATATTTTAATATACATACAATAAAACTTGAAAGGATTTGAACCATTGTTGGGAACATGTTAATGGTTTGGTTTTTGTCATATTTCTTTGTGTTGCCCCAGTGGCACAGCGGTATGTTTACGTACTTATACTGCTAGAAACCGGGTTTCAATACCCGTGGTGGGCAGAGCAGAGATAGCCCTCTGTGTAGCTTTGTTCTTAATAACAAACAAAAGCATTCTCTGGGTTATATTCAGCGTGCAATAGAACCGTCCAAAAAGCGGATGCAAGAAAATAGTATACAAGGAAAAGTTGGAGCCCAAGTAGCTAATATCTCATCTGTGAACATGGTCAAAAGGGTCTCAAGAATTGAATTAACAAGTGATATAATTGCTAGGGACTAATACAAAACAAAATTTAAGCTTTTATAAACTGAAGGAGAAACACGACTATAAGGAATATAAACAGGATTGTGTAGACAGAGCTGTAAAATACGGTGGCGGGCCTGTGATAGATGTTCCTTTGCAGCAGGAGTGGAAGAGAATGTCCAAATTGATGGTATTTTGTTCGTTGTTGAAAACTACTCGAGGGTATACCTGCACTAGCCGTTCCTGATTTAGCAGTGACAGACTGTAGGGAAGGCAGCTAGTCAACACCAATTCTTGGGCTACTCTTTTACCAACGAATAGTGGGATTGTCCGTCACATTATAACGGCCCTATATCCGGTGACGGGGATTCGACCCCGAGACCCACAGATTGCCATCTAGCACCCTAACCGCCAGGCCACGCCAGACCTAGTGGTATTATGAAAACGGAGCAGAATCACAATAGCTGGATCATCACGTAATACCCTATAAACAACGCTAATTTACCCTGGCTTTGAATGTCAGTGAGATAATGTTCCAGAGCATACTAGTATGCAGGATAAAAGGTATTTGGTGGGAAATTAAAAAAATATATATATAAAGTTATTTAAATGGCTAGTTGAAAGTCTTCATGATAATACAGATAAAACATTATTGCATCAATCGGAAAGTAGGACTGCAAAACACTAGCCGATGAAGTTAAGACTACAGGACGACCTACTAAGTATTGATTATTTAATGTGCTATGTTCCAAATGAATGCATTATAAATAATATTAATGTTACCTTTAGTTTAGACATAGCCTGTAAACCAAATGTTTTTATGAAGAATTTCTCGAAAACCTAATTTTTGGTAACTTAGACTGAGATTTATAGCCATGGCAACATATTTACTTTTTACTTTCGTGTTGCTACGATACATTTTATTGCATTTGCACATTTGTTTCCCGCTCACTAAAATTGTTGTACTATCACATAGAGCTCATAAAAGAACTATGCTTCTATATCGATCCCGCGTTAAGGCACTGGTGGGGCCTAGTCGAAGTATACACTAGTGGCCCCCCTTGATTTTAAGAAAATAACATACAACTTGATAAACTGATTTTATTAGTGATAAAAAATTAAGGAAATAAAAAATTAAACATACATATTCATTTAAAAACTGGTTTATTATTATTATTTTATTTTTTATCATTTTACTTGCAATGCGCGGTGAGCCCTGGGCAACTACCCCTTTTGCTCATTGGATAAAACAGCCCTATTCTGCATACTAGAATAAATATTCGATTTATCAGTACGATGAGAAAATAACATTTTCACAAAATAGCCTGTTCTCAGCATTAAAATCACGCGTAGGCGATGATGAAAGAAAAAAAAACTTGGTGAACACACAACGCGAGTTGTTTGCAGCTGAATGATGAAATATTGGATTTATCTTGATTTTTATTCTGTTCTAGGAAGAATATATTATAATATCTTTCGTCTAAAAACAAATCAATTACAATTTCACTTATACTTTGAAGTTGTACTTATTTCATCGAAAATTGTGCCTGCATGAAGAACTTTCGCGTGAGTGCGTGCACCAATTTTTTCATTTGTGATGGGTCATTCTCTGTAAGTACTTTTACTGTAGTTCAGACTTGTGAGAAGACTGAGGCATTTTTTTTTTCCGCTGTTGGTACTTTGATAACATGGATATTATCAAAATAAAAAATGAAGTTTAATTTGTTTGTTGGGAGGTGTTTGAAGATTGCGTTTTCACGGTTTGTTTGTTTGTACTTAAGCACAAAGCTAAACAATAGGCTATCTGTGCTCTGCCAACCACGGGTATCGAAACCCGGATTATAGCGTTGTAAGTCCGCAGACATACCGCTGTGCCACTGGGAGGCGCGTTTTCACGGAATATCATCTTTAGCTTTCGTGTCAGACTTCAGTTTGAAAACCAAGTTCAGTACAACGTTAACTAAAAATGATGAGCCTTCTATAGTCATGTTTGACTGGATCGTGTCGTATAGAACAGTTGAAAACTGGAAATGATTACAGTGAGATTAAAAAATCACCTGCCAAGTGAAAGGCCGAATGATAGCTAACGCACGATGTTCGAAACCAGGAACGGCCGTGACGAATGTCAGGAACTCGAAGTTGTAAGGAACGGTGAAATCCATGTCTTCCTCTCTTTCATACGTAACAACCAGAGCTGTCAATCCCATGTCCACTTCCTGCCAGCAGATTATAAACAGTCAACGATAAAGTTTACAGGATCTTCAGATTACATTAGTTATTTTTCTATTAATGATTGGTAAGGCCGCAGAAATGTGACACGTAATCCATGACACAGTCCATCAAAAACACTTTCATTGAGACAGAACACGTATGTTACGGGTCATCTAAAATAAAATATAGCTCTTGAGACGCGTTGACGTTAAAAACATCATCATATCATATGTTGTCTCATGCAATTTAGACATCAAGACACACAAACATGTGTTTTAAATAGGTCATTTGATATAATTTAGACATCAAGACACACAAACGTGTTTTAAATAGGTCATTTGATACAATTTAGACATCAAGACACACAAACATGTGTTTTAAATAGGTCATTTGATACACTTTAGACATCAAGACACACAAACATGTGATTTAAATAGGTCAGTTGATACAATTTAGACATCAAGACACACAAACATGTGTTTTAAATAGGTCATTTGATACAATTTAGACATCAAGACACACAAACATGTGATTTAAATAGGTCATTTGATATAATTATGACTTTAAGATAAACTAGCGGATATACCATAATTTGAAATATAAAATTATCGAAAACAATCTTTGTACGTGTTTATAGACTGTTAGTACCTCCTATAAACAACAAGCTCATAACAAATGCGAAATATAATGTAAAAACTTGCAACTAAAGTGTTAAATATTTTGGCTTAATGGGATTCTTTATTGGCAATAAATATCAAGACGTGAGCTTAATGTTATTTCTAATGTTCTTATAAAAAAATTACGTCATTATCAAGAATTCTTTTAATTTTTTTTAAATACAGAATTTAGTGTAAAAAGCAAATCACAGAAGAACAAAGAAAACTGTTTAGCATTACAACATCAAAACTCTATGTCATATTTAGCTAATGTTCATTTAATAAATCATATCCATCACTTAAACACCTATCAGTAGAGCTTAACCAATTGTAATGTTTAGTTTTACTGCAAAAATTAAACATTTTACTACCTTTTCTCTTGTCTTGCTGCTTTGGTTTCAAAGAGCAGACAATAATATCAGTTCTTATACTGTTTATGAAAAATAATATTGATGAATGACATTCTAAATAAAATAAAATTTATTGAGTCTAACCTGGGCACAAATCAGATCAAAAATTATTTTCCCCATCTGATTATGAAAAAAAAAGAAGAGAGGAATTAATTTTTAATTTGTTTTTGTGTGTTATTTATTGATATGACTATTTTGTACTGTTAACTTATTATATGGATTTAGAATTAATTAAAAAATCCACAACTGTTCAAACCATGTGAGATATTACTTGGATTACAGCCAAAATATGTCTAAAAGGTATAATACCCAATTAATGAAACAAGGAAATTCTAATCATTATACATTTTTGTTTTATTACTTTGCATACACCTAGTTAGATGGGTATATTTAGGGAGTAATATCAATTACTTGGTTCAGTTTAACTGCTGATCTATGTAGGTAGCTTGCTTTGATCACAAGTTAAAGATAATATTAACGTTTTCTTTAAAGTAGTCTAAGAAGAAAGTATGTTCATATTTTACAAACAAGGGAGACAAGAAACAAAAAATTACCTTCCTCATAACCATCCCCATTATACCTGACCAAGTTCCATTTTCCTTAGCTCCAAACATACCATCTGGTGGCAAAACAAGTTTATAGCTAAATAAAAAGAAAATTATACACCTTAACTTAATTTGATTACTAAATATATTGAACCTAATACTAAAAACTATGGTATTATAAAATAAAAGTATTTGTTTGTTAAAGATTTTTGCACAAAGCTATACATTAGCTATCTGCAACTAACCAACACTAATTTCCAACTGATACTTGGAAGGCAGCTAACTAGTCAAAAGCACCCACCGGTAGCTCTTGGGCTACTCTCTTTGACCAAATAATGGTATTTGACTGTCTCTTAACGTCTTCAAAGTGTGGAGTGCATTTTTACAACCTCAGGATATAAATAGTAATCCCACAGATTCACAGTTCCAGTATGATAAATCTAGGCCATGCCTATCCCAAATACAAATGAATTAAGAGCTTAGGCACTGAACCAAATACTGGAAACTACAGTATTGTTAAGAAAAGTAAACTGTCAATTTATGTACTTAATCTCACACTAGAAACTATGATATTGATAAACAGCAAATGGATTGTTAACACTAGAAGGGTATTGTTAAACACAAGGTAGTTGCTAGTTTACTTATCTTTTTAACATGGAAAGTTATTGTTAAACACAAAACTGTTAATAGTGTTACGTCCCTGGTCGTTTGTTAATTTCCCGGAATAAATTCTTTCCGAGGAACTTCAGCGATACAAGTCCTTTCTTAAATAAAACTAGTTTATTCTTTCTCAATACAACTTTGCAATACACAGAATTTCCACAGTCACTTTAACTTAAACACACGCTATAATTCACAACGATTTACACACTTTACTTACGGCTTGACTCGATTATCTCCGTTATCAATTTATCTGCCGCCTTATATACTAAAAAAGAGGGCGTCTAGCAAACTCTGAACATTCTTGAGGTTCCCCGATCCTTCTAGAATCTCATCACGTGTTACCAGAGTCACGTGACTTCCGCTGTCGTAACAATAGTTTAGGCAATGAACCCAAGACAATTTTTAATTAATTTGGATTATACTTCTCACATTTCAACAGTATTAGCATATACACTGAGTGGTCACAAGTAAACAGACACCTAATTTTTCGTCATTTAACTGATTTAT